CCTGTGCCATTATGCACTTTCTTGCCGGTGCCAACCTTAACAATTGTACCATAAATTACAACATGCAGCAATGAAAACATCAACTGGAACTCCAACATTGTTGAGCACTGAAAAAAATGGCCGTAAATGGGCAAAGGTCAAGGTCGAATGTCATCATGCTCAATAGTGACGGCATCTGTTTTGTTCTATGACGTTTCCATATTTGTAAATGGTGGGTCAGAGACCTCCGTCGTTTGTATTTAGCAGTAAATGCTTGTAACATTGTTTGTTTTTAGTTTATTAAAAATTCTATCCATTTTATCTATAATAATGGTAATGCTATTTTTCAGGGCATTATCATTTGCAGAAGCCTGAGGTCTTTCATTTAACTGCCCGACGAAGGAGGGTAGTTGAAAAGACCAAGGGTTGTTACCCTTATAATAAACAAGGCAATATAAAAGAGAATCTTAAGTCTAATTTTAGGGTCACCCAAATAATAAAATCTACTGTGGTTATCATGGGATAAAAGAGGTCTGTGCCCAACCTGCCAACTTCCACTTTTGATTTTTAATGTCATTATCTGGCTTTTCTGTCAGCTGTTTCCATTTGGTTGCTGTGCCCATAACTTATGTTGAGAACTAGTAAGAACAGAGATGATGCCTTTATTTGTCTACTCCGGGAATAATGTAACTCAGGAAATTGATATTTGTATCAATATCTCAGTCATTTCTTTCCTTTTACTTGCCTTTAACAAACATCGAACTCAGTTTGTCTCTAAATGAAACAGAGCCAAACAGTTGTGAATCTGTAGCACATAGATTTTGTGGCACTAATTCCAAATCCCCATCAACTATTGCGTGTTATTAAATACAAGCCTGTTGTTGCATGCACAGCGGCAATAAAGCTCTTGTGGTTTATTGCAGTAATCCTATTGATTTGCTCAAACTAAAGTTTATTTATGTCAGTAATAATAAAATAAATCCTCCATTCCGGCTCTAAATCATGTTACACTGTGTTGCGTGCTTCTGGCCAGGATATGGAGACAGCAGTTGTAGAGGTTCTCATTAGGATGGAGTACATGCTGGTAGATCTGTCGGAACTGTAGTGTTAGGATTAGCATCATCAGACTGTATCCATTTGGATGTATTGTTACGGAATTCTCTTGGTGAAAGTATAATGGCAGATAGTGTTTAAGGTTTTGGCTACTACTTATATAGGGATTGAAACTTGCATTGTCAGGCGTGTTGTAACCTACATTCGGTACATGCAAATATATCCCTGGTTCAAGTCGAAAACAATCTGTGCGTAAAAGCTTTTCATCTATTCGTCCAAACAAGGCCTTTAGAATCATTTCAGTTAATGCATTATATGAATTACCATTAGCTGAGCTTCCTAGTGAAAAGAGATTTTTACATGACTTGGATTTCGGAAGAGTGGTTAAAGGCACAATGTCACACCACAATTCTCTAAAAATATATAATGCATTTCTCTCAAACTATCAGCCCTCAGGTAAGTTATTCCCAAAGAAATGTGTATTAAGATTACATTATTAAATTAAAATGTTCGAACGAATTAATGCAACGTTGCATTAAATCGACTAACACACCCTCTACAGGCCAAACATTATTTTAACCAAAGCCCATAGAGTTATGTCCCTTGGAATGTTCTTTACAAATATATTACTCACAACTTGTGCTTGAAACAAGTTCACCAAACCAAACCAAACACCAACAAAACCGCGTGCTACAGTTTTTGATGTACGGAGCAATTGTTTATATAAAGTGTTTTCTGTTTTCTGTTTGGAAGCTCTTCGATTCAAAGTTTCAATTAACGATTTCAGACAAATTGTAATTGATAATATGTCTTTTATTGCATCAATAGGAAGCTGAAGTGAGTGCATATGCCCCCAATATGTAAACTATAGGCCAAAATATTGTCAAAAATGTGTGACATTGTGCCTTTAAGTTTGAGATGGACAGATGTGCATTTACTGAGTGATTTGGCCAACTTGACAATTGGACTACACTTTGTTTTTCTAAGTTTCTACCAAACTGACAGTAAGAAAAGGTTTTGATGATCATGAAAGTTGAAAAGTATTTTTTTTCAATGATAATATTTTATGTCCACACGTTTCAGTCATGATCATGAATACTTGTGCAGGTAGCTGTTTTCTCATAACTTTAGGTCTCTACTGTTAACTTGGGCCTCATCTTGACTCGCATGATATTTCCTTAAGATTCTCTAGGGGCAGAGATGCCAACCCTGAATCAAATGAAAGGGGAGTCATGCCTTGCTAAAGCCCTGAAGGTGCGAGTTGGGGTGAGCATGAGAGGGGGTTCGGGCCCCCAGACGGTGGGTGTCTGGGGGGCCTCCGCTATGAAAATCTTTAGATTTTGCCTGGAAATATGCAATTTCTGGGCATACTTAACCAGATAATTCTTAACTCAAACGAACATATTTTCTCAAATTCTTTCAAACATTCTAAATTTATAAACATATTTGTATTTTCTAAAAAATCAGAGTTTCTTAAAGACAAATCAGAGAGTGGATTTTGTATTTGAAAATCGGAGTAACTCCTCCAAAATCAGAGTGGTTGGCATCTCTGTAGGGGAATAAGAGGAATAAAAGAGGCCCCAGTTTAACTTTTAGTTCAAAATATATTGTTTTCCATATAACACCTACATGATCATGCATGTTCTTTTAAACACTGAAAAAAAAATTTTTAAATTTTGGTTTAAGTCAAATGGACATTTTTGTAGGACCTATAGGACCAAATGGCAAGTATGTTTCACATCAAGTAAGTTTCACTGAAAATATTATTTGGGGTATTCCAAATGAAGTCCTGTCAAGTCAACAGGATTCCTGCAGCATGTGAAACCTGTTACCATGGTTACTGTGAATGATGTGCACTTGGTTGTAGGGAGGCATGTGGATAGGGTGTTTTCATACAGTCTGAATCATTACAGAACAACAGTTTGTGAGCCCACTCAGGGTGTTGCCGGCAGAATGGCTTGTCCATTGTTCACATGCTGTTACGGAAGCCCACTTAAGAGAGTGGATTGTATGCAGCCTGTAATGCATAAGCATAATGTACATCAGAAAGCTGTTATACAATGTGATGAGATATATGCTAGTGATTATGGGTTTAACCCATTCTCTTCCCACAGAGGTTTCTTGTCATATCTTCCTACTAACCTCTGTTCTAATATGGCCCTTTCATGGCGCAAGTGTTCAGGATTCGTGATTGGTTGCAATCTGATTTAGTTGTGCAATCAGTGACGTTGTTTCAAAAGTGATCATTCGCAAGGCCTCGGGAATTTCCGAATGCTTCGGGAAAACTAGAACCTCTTTCCCTGCGCGATGCGCAAACGTTTCTTCTAGACAGAACTCAGTCATGTAATGCCGGATGAATGGCGTCTCCATCGCCCTCGTTGACAACGAACAAGCTTGCCATTAAATGTCTTGTGTGTCACATCAACACAAGTCCCCGGCAGAGAAGAGTGATATTTGTGGCCCCATTTTTACTTGCATTATTCGAGTTGGATCTAAGTCGATGTAACACGTGTTCTGATTGGATAGAAAAAAGGGAGATAATTTGTGTTGTGACTTTTTGCCGCAAGGGGATATTACAAGAACCGGGAAATATGGCCATATTAGAACAGAGGTTAGTAGGAAGATATGACAAGAAACCTCTGTGGGAAGAGAATGGGGTTTAACCCTGCTTTTACTTACAATTATCCCACATTGTGATATTGCTGGAACATTGCTGAAAGCGGTGTAAAACTAAGCTCACTCACTTACTCACTCACTTTAGTTTTAAATCTGTGATATTCTAGTTGGTTTTACTGTCCTTTGTCGACAAATATTTTATATTGATTACCTTGTTTTCATCGCTTATATGGCTGTAATTTTGCGGATGCGATGTACAATTTTCACTCACTCACTCACTCACTCACTCACTCACTCACTCACTCACTCACTCACTCACTCACTCACTCACTCACTCACTCACTCACTCACTCACTCACTCCTCCTCACTCACCACTCCTCCTCCACTCACTCACTCACTCCTCCAGTAGTGACAATGGCTCACCCTCTGTACAATCACTCACTCACTCACTCACTCACTCACTCACTCACTCACTCACTCACTCACTCACTCACTCACTCACTCACTCCTCCAGTAGTGACAATGGCTGATACATCAAACCAATAGGGGGAATCAAACCCTGACACTCAGTGTGATAAGCAAACACTTTTCTCAATAGGCCACAACATGATCCAAGTTTATTGTGAGATATGTTGAAACTATGAAGGGAATCAAACTAAGGCCTTCAACAATGAGCAACCCCTGTAACCAGTAGGCCACCCCTCCACTTTAGAAGTAAATGAGCAAACTGATGCCTGTTGCATATTCAACTGAGTACATAAGGATAACATTAAAGTCTTCCATAATAAATTACAGTTTTGTGTACACCTTTTGTGCCAAACACATTTGTTTCCACAAAAAGGCTTTGAATATGATGATTGAATTTTTGTATCATATAAAAAGCATTCGTGAGTAACTCAGGTTATTCCGAGGCAAGCCAAATAGCGACTCGTGCCCCTCTGGAAGGGTTTCATATAGGCTTATGCACTTTATTTCTGTTGAATTCCAGACACAATAACCATTACTGAAGCTTTTGAAAAGCTTGTAACCTGTTTCAGACAGTGATAATTATCTTTTGTTGAAAACATATAATATATCTTAGTGAAATTGTTACCAGATGTTCACCTTATATTCATCTACCACTGTGTTTGCTATTTATTGATTTTACTCTTTTTAATGTCAGAGATTGTCATAGAACACACACAATTGGAAAGATGGTAGCCATTATGTAAACAAACACACATGTGAGTATTTGAATCTCTTGAGCCTCTCCTTACTAAAAACTTCAGAGACCACATAATCCTTTTGATCTTATTTAAATAAATAAATAAATAAATAAATAAATAAATAATAAATAAATAAATAAATAAATAAATAAATTTCTCGCTTATATTGGGCAAACGGTAAAACATACCCTTGCCAGCTTGCCAGCAGTAGGTAATACTAGGGTAGGAGAACACACAATAGACTCACTCAACACAAACAATTGATTAACCATGCATGGCCTAGAATGATAAATGGCAGCTGGCTTGCTATCAGTGGAGGAGATTACTGTGTGTCCGGCTAGGGAGAGCCAGATCCGTGAGCAGGTAACTCAGGCTCTGTGATGGCTGTGTTTGCCTAGAATTAACGCTAATGTAATGGCCGCCAGATGCTTGTCATGTCTGTATGGAGGTTGAGGAGGGAGGGGGAGACAAGCGGAGTCAGATGTTACATCAGGAAGTGCTGAGCGATCACCTACAGAGTCCATTGTTGCTGGATGTGTTGTGGAAAGTTTGACAGTCTTAGATGTTGTGGTATTAACTTGCAGTGGGTGCTCAACTGAACTCAACTGAGGTTGAAGAAAACGTGATTTGTGTTAACGGAACTGGGACATTAGTGTATGGATTATTGTGGATGGACGTTCAAAGTGAGATTGTTTGATGTGTTGAGACGTACCTTACATGGTTCAGACTGAGGGCTGTTAATTGATCACATCAATCTGTGTACATTGATCTGTGGATATTGATCTGATTGACTTTCAAAACATGGAAACACTACTGTAAAGAATGAAGAACACAGGTCTTGAATTAGCTGGATGAAAACAATCAGGTTATAGATGAAACAATTTGGTTATTGATGAGATTGATATGTTGAAGGTTATTGATCCGAAGCAAGTTTAATAAAACACACAGATGTAAATTTGGTGTCTGCTGACACAATATAGGGCACACTGTATTGAGTGAGCTGCTGAAATGTCCTCCATCTATACAACTATGCTGCTGGTCACTGGATGTCTTGCTGACTGAGATTACACCGTGGTTCTACAGAATGTGGGCGGCCTACTCCAACACGGCCACAGTAGAGGAGGGGAGTGTTGTCCACCTCCGCTCTGACAGCTCCACCTCCCAAACACCGGGTGAGTCAGGACTTCACTACAACAAATGTTAGGGGACATGAATGAGTTGAGTGATATGACATTGACAATTTGTTCATGATAATTGCAATTACATTAAGTATGGAGTGATAATATGAATGCATCTGTGTCAGTGTGTGTGTGCGTGCGTGCGTGCGTGCGTGTGTCTGTGTGGCTGTGTCCAGACTAGTACTGTTTTTTTGTACTTGCCCACAGAGATACCAAGGTGCAGATTAACATGGACACCCTCTCAGATATACTCGTTTTACTGCCTTTTTACAGAGTGCCATGCAGGGTAGCAACAAGTTACCTTTTTAATGTTTTAAGTTTTTAATGACTTTTGGTATGATACAGCTGAACCACTTACCAGGGAATTGTGCATCTCTCATAATGCAGTATTCTTTCAGGATGCAAAATTTTCTTTTTGCATCACCCAATTAATTTATTCACACTGGACAACCATTTCATATCTTGAAAAACCCAGAGAGCCATTGTAAAAAAATAACTAAACACTTCAACAGTCGTAAGTCTATGTTAAGGTATGGTACTTATGATCATCTTAAACTGACTGAGTTTAGTTTTACGCCACTTTTAGCAACATTCCAGCAACATCACGGCCGGGGACACCAGAAATGGGCTTCACACATTGTACCCATGTGGGGATTCGAACCCGGGTCTTCGGCATGATGAGCCAACGCTTTAACCATTAGGCTACCCCACCGCCCGATCATCATTAAAGATGATTGACGTTTTGAACAGTGGCACCTAGCCATGATGATGGACAGTCCCATTTTAATGTGAAATTTATCAACAAAATTTTACATGTTGGTATTTATCGCTCAGGTGTTTAGACAACAGACCCATGGCAAAATATTTTTTAGAATCAGTGATGCTTATCATAGAAAAACAAAGTATATTTTTCAATGGTCCTGGCTGGGGGTTGTCATCAACTGTTTTAGAAATTTGACATGTAGGATTGGCTTGTGGCTATAACCCCTGTTATAATTCATACACCTGTACAGGACAGCAGTGAAATGTGTTTGCTGAACGCCTTCTCAAGTAGACGACTGATAACCTGGGGTTATTTCTGTTTATTATCGTGATCCTTATAATGATTCATGATCACCTGCTTAGAAGAAAAGACAGTGCACCAAGGAAATATGTCTGACCTCATCAGGATCTAGGATAAGGAAAATCATACTGATTAAAATATCTTACTCCTGATGGTAAAGGATTTGAAAAGAATTTCACTTTCAGAATTGTACTTGAAGTATTTCTGTCCACGTTTGTCTACATGAGTTTCTGGTTCCAGGTTACCCGTGAAGGTCCGGGTTAGAATATTGATCTTCAGTAACCCTTGCTTGTCGTAAGAGGCGATTAACGGATCAGGTGGTCAGGCTCGCTGACTTAGTTGACATATGTCATCGGTTCCCAGTTGCGCAGATTGATGCTCATGCAGTTGATCCCTGAATTGTCTGGTCCATGATTATTTACAGACTGCCGCCATATATAGCTGGAATATTGCTGAGTGCGGCCTAAAACTAAACTCACTCACTCACTCTGGTTCCATGTGTTATTGAGTTAAGAGTAAATTATTATTAAGTTTTGTTTGTTTCCATTTTGGGGGAAATATGTTAAAGTTTAATTTTATGTAAAGTTATACCCTGCTATCATGGTTGTTGCCTCAACAATATTTTTCTCCTTTCTGCGATAAGGATATTCCGCTGTCTGATAAATCAAGCCAATAACAGAAAGCTTCTGTTAATGATACTATTTTTCTCTCTATGAGCCCCACCAGTGCAATAAATGCTGAATGTGAGTACTCAGTTGCTCAGCTTGAGTATTTGGCTGGATGCCCTCAACCCGACTATCTGATGCTTCCAGACCCAACTCAGGAAACATTGCCAATAATCCATTGAGTCAGTCTGATGTTGTGGTATGATGTGATAAGCCATATCACTGGTTGATTGGTTGTTGCTTAAAGCCACACTCCGCAGTATTCCAGCTTTATGGCGGTGGTCTGTTAATAATCCAGTCTGGACCAGACAATCCAGTGATCAACAGCATGAGCATCAGTCTATGCAATTGGGATATGATGATATGTGTCAACCAAGCCAAGGAGCCTGACCACCCGATCCTGTTTAAGTCGCCTCTTACGACAAGCATGGGTTACTGAAAGGCAATTCTAACCTAGATTTTCATCGGGTCGATAAGCCATATCAAGAGTCTTACCATCCAATCCTCTTTTATGACGTAATGATATTTGGGAAGCACAAGTTTCTGGGAACCTGATCATGATCCCCACAGGTATGTTTCAACACAGGTTCCCACAGGTATGTTTCAATACTTGGTCCCCCACAGGTATGTTTCAATACTAAAATGGTCCCCCACAGGTATGTTGCAATACAGGCCCCCACAGGTACTTTTCAATACATGGTCCCCCACAGGTATGTTTTAACACATGGTCCCCCACAGATATGTTTCAACACATGGTCCCCACAGGTACGTTTCAATACATGGTCCCCACAGGTATGTTTCAATACCCGGCCCCCTCAGGTACGTTTTAATACAGGCCCCAGCAGGTATGTTTCCACAGGCCCCCACAGGTAATGCGTTTCAATACATGGTCCCCACAGGTATGTTTCAATACACTGGTCCCCACAAGTACATTTCAATACAGGTCCCCACAGGTACGTTCCAATACAGGTCCCCACTGGTATGTTTCAACACAACTCTCCACAGGTATGTTTCAATACAGGGTCCCCACAGGTATGTTTACAACAGGTATGTTTCAATACAGGCCCCCACAGGTATGTTTTGCCCCACAGGTATGTGGTTGGTCCCCACACATGTTTCAACACATGGTCCCCCACAGGTATGTTTCAACACATGGGTCCCCACAGGTATGTTTCAATACCCGCCCCCACAGGTGCGTTTTAATACAGGCCCCCATATTTTCAATACATGGTCCCCACAGGTTTTCAATACACTGGTCCCCACAGTACATTTCAATGCAGGTCCCCACTGGTATGTTTCAACACAACTCTCCACAGGTATGTTTCAATACAGGTCCCCACAGGTATGTTTCAACACGATATTTCTGCAGTTTGGTTTCAAAACCATGTTTCCATAGGTATGTTTCAACACAAGAAACACACAGGTATGTTTCAAATCAATGTATAACAACCTTCATTCCGTGACACACAATTCCTACAAGTTATTTAACCTAGAAACGCTGTAGTGCCATATACCTCCAAATTCTTCTGTCACAAGATCCCCTACGAGCACTCAATGACTGCTATCAAGTTTTATTTCAAATTATGTTTAAACATGCAATTCCGTCTGTTTTGTAGTGTATTATTGACCGCACACAGAACATTATTGTAGACATAACATTCCTCAATATAAACGTACCGGTACCTGTAAACTCCCTGAGTGTTCCTGGCCATGTCGGTGTCTGTGAAGTCAGTGTCTAAGTATGATCTATTGTTGGAGTAAGTGGGAGTACCTAGTTAGGGTGGCCTTCTCACAGGGTTGAGTATCTCACCTGGGACTTAATGGCAGTCACCTGACTCTGTATTGTCTAGTCATGGTTATGTTTTGAATCAGGATGTTGAACTTAGACTTATAATGGTTTAAGCATTGAAAGCCAATATAAATTAAATGTGCTCACAGAGCTATCGCTTGTTAGTAGACAGCTTTTAGGTAACAAAATCCAATCTAAAAACACACATGTTCAAGATAGCCTTTGAACTGTACTTTGCCTTACTTGCATTTTTATTTGTGTGCTTTGAGCATGCATAAGCATGGATATATGTGCGTTACAAATATGCTATTATATATTATTATTATAATATCTTATTTATATGATTTTCATTGCCTGAGCTGATTGTGGTAGGTTGGTTGTGTGTGGTGAAAAAGAGTAAAGAAAATAATGTTGAAAGTCTAATTACGAAGTATTTTAATTGCTTAACATAGAGAGATAAGGATATTGAAAATTAAACAAACTAACTAAAAATTTATAAAGTATATATTACAATATGTAGAAAAAACAATCATCATGGAATTCAGAACAATGCTAAATTTCAGGCAAAAAATGGAGGCTGGAGACACTTGGTAAATTATTCTCGACCTTTGTTGGATTTGTTTTTAATTTTTCCATACCCTCTAGTAGATAGGTATGAGTAAGTTTTATTGTCAGGATTTACTATGGAAACATTTAGGCAATAAGAAACAATATATCTTAACAAATTATAAACGCATCAGCATTTATTTAGACAGAATTTAGCATTTATTGTTATATGTTTGTCACTTTCAATGAATTTAGCATAGTTGTTTTTTTCGACAAAAAAAACCTATGTTTTCTGTCTGAATTGTAGATAGATGTTTTTGTTAGGACACTGTATGGTTTATTCAATGGAACATGGTGTCCTTTGGTATAATGGATGAAGGTTGCATTTTTACCAGTGGATTATGGGTACATATAAATATCCTATAATAATAATAATAATATAATAATAATTATGGGGTACGGATTATGGGTACAGTATGGATTATGGGTACAGTATGGATTATGAGTTCAGTATGGATTATAAATATATTTTGTTCACAGCTGTCATGTTGCACAGTGTTTATACTCCAGGGAATTTATTCAAGATTGGCAAACTGACACATGCTGTAATTTGTGGCACAATGTATTCAGTTGTAATGGACAGCTGTCTTGAAATATGTATTGGGGCCCCAATATCTTTGTTATATACCAGACCCGTTGATCTTCAGTAACCCATGCTTGTCGTGAGAGTTGACTAACAGGATCGTGGACAGCCTCGTTGACTTGGTTGAGACATGACTGTACTTGACCATTTACAGTCCACCGTGATATGTCAGAAATATTGCTGTCTGTGGTGTAAAAATAATAACAAACATTTGCATTACAACATTGCTAAAAATTGCCAAAATATTGCCATTTTAGTCCTTTGAGCCTACTAGCCTTAAAACCTATG